ACAGCTCCGCTTCGTATTGCAATTACAGCACCGACAAGGCGTTCAGGGCCGAGCTGCGGCGCGTGCAGCACTGGTACCGACCGGGGCGCCGACAGCGACGGTGGCGCACCGGCATCGCGCGGGACCGGCGGCAGGCCGCCCACGTCAAGGGCGTGCGCAGCGTCATCACGCGGAAGGTGCGCGACCACTTCCGCAGGATGCGCCGCCGCGTCAAGGTGGAGGGCCTGGTGAACTGGCGGGATGTCGCGCTCGCCACGCGGCAGGCGGGCATCCCCGTCCAGTCTGGCACGGTCCCAGTGGAGCGGTCGTGGTCCTGCTTGGAGGACATGATGCCTGCAGCCGCGCGGGGCGCATCGCTCCGGTGGTTCAGGGTCCTTAGCACGGTTATGATCATGCGCTACAACTACACGCACTTCAACAAGGACAACCTGCCGACGATGGCAGAGCGGGACCCCCTGCTCGGCCAGCGTCTGGCGACGATCGCCATGCTGGCTCGGGCCGTGAACGAATCCGATCAGGGCTTGTCGCACCTGGCGCTTCTTTTTGACCCGTTCGGCTCGTGCTGACGCGCCGCGGGGCGCGACTTGTTTTTGTCCTTCCCTTTTTTCGGTTGGTGCCCGCGGCCTTGGCCGCGCGCTGCACTGTTCGGCCAGGCGCCCGGAGGTGCGGAGGGGGATAGGCTACCCCGCGCTGCAGACCTTCACATCGCGGCGTTGCTGTCGGTTGCCAAGGCGCTTCCCTGATTGAGCAACGCTGTCATTATTGTGTTCGTGCTGCGCGTTCCCCGTTGCATTTTTGTTGCGCGCGTCCGTTATCGCGGAGGCCGCGCGCGGTGCCGCCGCCGCGGCCACGGCCGCGCGCGGCATTTGCGATTGGGCCGCCCAGGAGAGGCAGAACCCCAAACAACGAAGTGGCGAAGAGGGGGGGGGCGAGAGGAGACGGGAGGGGCGGCCCTGGCGGCAGCGGGGAGAGGGAAGGCCCCGAGGAGAAGGGAACGCTGAGGAGGGCGATGATGGGGAGAGCGAAATCGACGCACCCGCTTTGTTTCTAGGGGGCTGTCCGTGGGATCAGCTGTTTTGCACGTGTCGCAGCAGGTTGTTCAACATTTTGGGCGTTCGGGCCCCCTCGCATTTCTCTTCTTCCCCATGCCACAGGGATGGGTTTCTATCGGAGTTTACTGTCCAGCGCAGATTTTTTATACAGGAAAGCAGATCCCACGGGCAATGGCTCGCATTCTACGGACGTTTGCTGAGCGCCACTGCTCTCTCGGGGTGACATTTGCTATGCAGGCTTCTCCTTGAGCTTTTGCCCTTCTTTTGCTTTGCTTCCTCCCCCGCCTCTCCCCCGAGGAGGCCCTGAGGAGAAGGAAATGCCGGGGAGGGCCCCGAGGAGAAGGAAATACCAAGGAGGGCGAGGGGAGGAAGGAGTCCACAGGGATGGGTTTCTATCGAAGTTCATTGAAAAAGCACGCTTTTCATTTATCAAGGAAAGCAGATTCAGTTCATTGAAAAAGCACGCTTTTCATTTATCAAGGAAAGCAGATTCCACGGGACATGGCTCGCATTTCATGGATGTTTGTTGCGCGCCCTGCTTTCTCGGAGTAGCGTTTTTCATTCAGGTTTCTCCTCGAGCTTTTCTCCTTCTCTTGCTTTTGCTTCCTCCTCCGCCTCTTATCCCCCTCCCCCCACCGCGCTCCACCCCGCGAGGGGCGGCCCCAGCGATGGCGGGAAGAGGGAGGGCCCCGAGGAGGAGGACATGCCGACGAGGGCGATGGGGGGGAAGGAATCCACAGGGATGGGTTTCTATCGAAGCTAACTGAAAAAAAAGCACGCTTTTCATTTATAAAGGAAAGCAGATCCCACGGGAAATGGCTCGCATTTCACGGATGTGTGTTGCGCGCCCTGCTTTCTCGGAGTGACGTTTTTTTCATTGAGGTTTCTCCTCGAGCCTTTCTCCTTCTCTTGCTTTTGCTTCCTCCTCCGCCTCTTCCCCCTCTACCCTCCACGTTCTACTCTGCCCCGTTAGGAGCGGCCCGCGCGACCCCCTCTCCCCATCCACGCTCTATACCGTCAGGGGCGTCCTCCCCCTCCTTGTCCTCCTCCTGCTCCTTCTCCTCATCCTCCCCGTCCTCCTCGGCGGTGCTGAGCGGCGTCGGGTGGCGCAGAGTGGCGCCGAGTAGCGCTGAGTGGCGCCGAGTGGCGCTGAGTGGCGCCGAGTGGCGTTGAGTGGCGCCAAGTGGCGTTGAATGGTGCCGAGTGGCGCTGGGTGGCGTCGAGTGGCTCCCAGGAGTAGTGCTGGGTGGCGTTGAGTGGCGCTGAGCGGTGCAGGGCGGTGCTGACTGGCGCGGAGTGGCGCTGAGTAGCGCAGTGTTTTTTTTGTCCGCCCGCTTGGCCGTCACGGTGCACTTTGCAGATCATAGCGTCTACGAAGTGGCCGCTTCACGTAGCCGACGCCAAGAAGGCATTTTGCCAGAAAGATCGGCTTCGCATTCCAAGGGGGGCTATAGTCGCCGAGCCGTGTCATGGATTGGACATGCCTTCGGACTGATTGAATTGGACGCCCCAGAAAACTAACTAAACGACGCGCCCCTCCTTTGGCGTCGCTCGCCTTTAACTGGCAGCCAAGGTTCTCGCCGAGATTATTCTCGAGCCGTGCTTGCGGCTTAAGCGCGGCGCGCTGGGCCCTCAGCAGGCCCCAGTTTTGATTGAGGTCAGCGACCTGATCGTTTCGGGGGGGGTGCGGTTGTGAAAGGGGTCGAGGGGGGCCGCGCGCAGTCGTGTCCAGTTTGGGAAATGGAAGGAAACCGAAACTGAATATGCGGGTCGACGCTCGATGCAACGCAGGGGCAGGATTACAGTCGATCAGGATAAATATATTCGCGAGCAGTTGTCCGTGATGCACCTGGAGCGCCCCCGCAAGTCTGAGCCTGACTCCCCCCTCTCCCCCGAAGAGATAAGGATGTATCGCACCGTGGCTGCGCAGGTGCAGTGGCTTGCTCGTGAGAGCCGGCCGGGCGTCGCCGGCAGTGCTTTTCTTCCCGCGGCTGCTCTCGCCTCTCCCCTGGCTTCTGACGGGTTGATGCTGGCTACAGTGTGCAAATACTTGAAGGGATCTAGCGAGCGGCGCCTGGCCGTGCGGGGCGTAGACCCCCTCTCGGTCAATTTCGCGTTAGCCAGCGATTCTGGACGGTGCCTCTCGCCAGGGGGGAGCTCAAGGGGGTTGGATCGTCATGGCCGCAGACTCAGCCATCCGAGAGAATCGTCGCGCCCGCGTCTCCGTGCTGTCGTGGAGATCCCAGCGCATCGAGAGAGCCTTTGCTAGCGCTGTCGCTGCTGAGACCTTAGCTTTGTTTCCTGCTACTGCCGAAACCCAGTGGCTCCAAGTTTTGTGGAGGGACGCGGACTTTGGTGACGTTCGCCGCCCCTCTTGCTTCGACGGTCAGGTTCCTTTCACGGTGGTTTCCGCTCGAGACTGTCAGCTCGGAGAGTTTGCCTCGGGAGTCTCAATCGTGGATGCTAAGTCGGTGTTCGATACTCTGTCTCGCAACTGTGCTGGATCCAGGGCCGACCGCCTGAATGCTATCGAATTGACCGTCGTCTGCGAATCGTTCGGTGCGATAGGCTCGGTAGTACGGTGGATGCTGCGCGCGAGGATGCCGGCTGACCCGTTGACGAAGATTGATCCGTCCCGGGGGAATTTGGCTCTTCATGACTTGTTGTGCCGAGGTAGCTTTTCTCTGGCTGACGAGACGGGACATATGGATGAAAGGTCGTTAAACCTTGCCCTGGAGAGTCGCTTTCGGGGGCCAGTCGGAGAGCCGTGGAAGAGACAGCTAAGGAAAAATAGCTGGAACGTGAGGAGTTCGGCCCGAGTATGGCGACTCAGGTACCCGAGGAAGATGAAGGGAGGAAAAAGGAAGAGGTTAAGGAACGCGGGAAAGGAGAAAAAAAGGGAGGAGGAAGGCTGTGTCGAGAGCCCATGTACGTGCATTGCGGCTCACAGGCGCCCGATCTTCAGCCCGCGAGACTTGGGCCCGCTGTCCCAGCTTTCCCTTGCGACCCTCGCTCGTCCCAGGGACCCTGGGGACCTCCAGGGATCTTTCCTCCCTTCCGTTCCCCCTTTCTCCCGCTTCGTGTTTCAGCCAGTGTGCTCGTGCCCGCAGCCTTTGGCTTAGAAACATGATGGTGTCTAGAGAAGGAGTCCCCGCTCGCCCTCTTCAGATCCCGCCCTTCTCCGAGTTCGTCCTCGACAGAGGCTGGGGCACCTCCTCCTCCTCCTCCTCCTCCTCCTCCTCCTCCTCCTCCTCCTCCTCCTCCTCCCCCTCGTCCTCCTCCTCGTCCTCCTCTTCCTCCTCCTCTTTCCCCTCCTCTTCCCCCTCCTCTTCCTCCTCCACGTCCTGCGGCTGCCGATACCAGGCCGGCGGGTTGACTCTGGCATGAGTGCGAGCGTTTGCTGCCTGCCTTGCGCGTGAAACCCATATCATGGCGAAGGACCCATCCAAATGCAAGTGTCAGTACCGCGAGGAAGGTGGGACGAAGGAGGGGGAGCTTCCATATGAGGCCACGAAGCGCGTGAGGGGTGTGCCGAACTGGTGTGGCGGTTGCGCGTGCGATTTTTTGCCACAGGAGCCTTCGGTGGAACTCCCTGTGGGTCCACGAAGCGCGTGAGGGGTGCGTTGAAATGTGCAGGCGGAGGGCAGAGGCAGGGATGGGAGGAGGGAGGAGGGGGACGAGGTGAGAAAGGAAATGTGCGGGCCGATGCGCATTCGAAACAAGGAACCAACACCACATGATGGTTGGGAAATGGTTTTCGCTCCCCAGGGAAACAAACAAATACCGAAAACCGCTGTTCCCAAGACCTCTCCCTGGGGTTCGCTCTCTGACCGGGATTCCCTGGAGAACCCGGTCGTGTCGGCGAGGGCTCTCCAGGACGAATATCGGCAGCGGTATCTTCTCCTCTGACTTCGGGCCCGAGCTCGGTGCGGGGGTGGATTCGCCGAGGTCCCTCGCCAACATTGCGTCCAGCACACTCGTAGAGCTGCTCTACACATTGGCGCGCACCCGCCCTTTCCCTGGCCTTTCGGGGGCAGGGCTGCCCGCGCGGTCTCAGTTGCGAAGAGGGCTGCGATGACCAGGGCGAGGAGGGGGAGGAGGGGAGAGGAGGGAGGAGGAAGGAGGTTGAAAAGGAAGAGGAGGAGGAGGAGGAGGAGGAAGAGGAGGAGGAGGAGGAGAAAGGAGCAGGAGGAAAAGGAGGAGGAGGAGGATATTGTGTGCTAGAGTCTGAGGAAAAAGAAGAGGAGGATGAAAAGGAGGAGGAGGAGGAACATGATGATGATGATGCACATTATGATGCTGATGCCGATGACGATTATGATGAGGATGCTGCTGCTGTTGATGATGATGATGATGATGATGACGATGATGATGCTGCATATTATGCTGTTGCTGATGATGCTGATGCTGCTGATGATGCTAGTCATTATACGGTCTGGGGTGATTATGATGTTTATGGTGATGTCGCGGGTGCTCTTACTGTTGTTGTTTTTGTTGATGTTTTTGGTGTCATGGTTGGTTTTGTTGGTGCTGTTAGTGTTGTTGATGCTGTTGTCGATGTTGAGATGGTTGTTGTTGCTGCTGTTGCTGTTGTTGTTGTTGTTGATGTTGCTGTTCTTGTTGCTGCTGTTAGTGTTGTTGCTGATGCTGTTACTGCTGTTGTTGCTGCTGTTGTTGTTGTTGCTGTTGTGGTTGTTGTTGCTATTGTTGTTTTTGGATTTTCATTTCTGAATAATACTTATTGTTGATCCCCCCCGCCTGGTGCACACTGTATTTTTTCGATTGAAGTGCCCCTCCTGGGGGGCTCGCACCCTGTTTTTTTTATCAGAGAAAATCTTGAGGGTCAAATTGTGTCGTTGGCCCGCGGTTTACAACAACAACGGCTCCCGCCTGATATTTTCTCACAATGTATTGAAGAATCGCGCTCTCGCTTGGGACGTATTAGCAATTTACCACCGAATCGCGGCTCCCGCCTGATACTTCCTGACAACTCATTGCAGAATATTGTTCTCGCTTGGGACTTCCTCGCAACTTACAACCGAACCGCTTCGCTCGGTATTTCCTGACAATTTATTCAGATGCCGGTCCTCGACACTCAGGAATCGCGCTCCCGTTACATATTGCCTGGCGTTTCAAGCAGGACTCACGCTTCAACGACCTGCCCTCTCGACCCGCCCGTCGGGGCCTGCCCGCCCGACCAGCCCGTTAATGATTGTGGTCGCCGCTCGCTGCCCTTCGCCCGCCTTCGATGCCCCTCGCTGCCCGTACTGGTTCCGCGGTCGCCTTCGCTCGCTGCCCTTCGTGGCCCTTTTGTTGCCCTCAGTGGCGCCGTCGCTGCCCTTTGTGGCCCCGCATAATATGCCCTTCGTGGCCCCCGCTCGCACGCGCCCGTCGTGGCCCCATACGAATGCCCTTCGTGGCCCCGCTGTCGCCCTTTGTGGCCCCCTCGCTGCCCTTCGTGGCCCCGGTGCTGCCCTCAGCGGCCCCGTCGCTGCCCTCTGTGGCCTCGGATTTTATGCCTTCATTGGCCCACGCTGGCTTTTCTCACGATTTACTTGGGAATCGCGCTATCGCTCGAGACTTCCTCGCGATTAATGCAAGACCCACGCTGCAGCAACCCGCCTGCTCCACCTCGTCGCCTGGGCCCGCCTTCCGACCTACCCGCTGTGGGTCTGCCTGCCCGACCTGCCCGTCTGATTCTACCACTTGTTCTCTGCTCCCTGCCCCCCTCCTGCTGATGTCTCTCGTGCTTTATTATTCTCCCTCCGAGGGCGCAGCGAGGGGGGTGCGGGCGCATCGAGCCATCTCCAGCGGGGGTGTGAGAAGGGAGGAGGATGCTGAGGGATGGGGGGGATGAGGTCAGGGGGGGGGGGAAGAAAAAAGGGGGGTGGGGGAGAAGGGGGGGGGGGCCAGGGAGGGGGGGAGGAGGATGCTGAGGGATGGGGTCAGGGCGTGGGGTGGGAAGGGGGGAACGGGGGGAGGGGGGAAAAGGGGGCATGGGGCAGGGAGGGGGGGAGGACGAGGCCGAGGGATGGGGGCAAGGCGGGGTGGGCTCGGGGAGGAGAGGCCGATCGGGGGGGGGGGCTGTGATGCGTGCGGGCTGGGATCCAGCCGCGACCCGGGTGGGACCGCGCCGATGCCGACGACAGCTGCCTGCGCTGACGGGGTCTGGTCCTGGGGACGGCCCGGACGTCGGAGGATCGCACGCAGCTTCTCCTCGTCGTGGGCACGGCGAGCGGGGCCTGGCCCGCCGGATGCCTCGTGGGTCCGCGGCGCCGCGCGCCCCCGCCCCCCAGGAGTATGCGAGAGGCTGGCGCCGCCCCTCCCGGTGCCGCGGCGGCCTCCCGCTGCAGACGGCCTCCCCCCCCCCCCCCCACACCCCCTCCCTTCGCATCCCTCTCCCACCGGGCCCTTCCCCTTCGGCCTGCCCCTGCCCCTCTCCCTGCCCCTTTTCCCTGGACCTCCCCCCCTCCCCTTCCCCTGCCCTTCGCCCCCTCTCCCGCCCCCCCCCTTCCTTCCCATCCCTCATCGTGCCTCTGCAATGGCACATTCTGAATACCACTCCCCTCTCTACCCTGACCCTGCCTGGAAGATGTTCGGCCCATTCCGCGTATATGTTTTTCGCGCAAAGGAAGCCTCACGTTTGTTTAATGGTTTCTCCCAATCCGATAGTTTTCGGTGTTTCAAATGGCGTTCCCGCTGTAGCGAGCTCCTCATTTTCGGATCTGCGATTTTGCGCCCATCGTGCAGAATGGCGCTCTCGCTCCAGCGCGGGCCCCTTCTCTGGATCCGAGTCCTTTCATCGTTGTCGCCACCCTCATTTCCCCTCCTGCTCATCCCGTTCCTTCCACTCCAGCTCCTGCTGCTGCTCCTCCTTCCTCAGCCTCCTCCTTCGCCTTCTGTTCATCCTCCCGCTCATCCGCCACCTCCTCCTAAGTATGCAGCTCACCTTTTTTTCCCGATGGCGCATGACACGAGGGGGTCTTCCTTTTGAGTTCCAGGTCCGCTACGACACGCGCCGGCGGACGGATCGAGGCATGGGTGGGAGGGGTCGGGTGTCGAACCTGGCGCGGGCGCACCTGGCGTGCTCTCCCCCTCCCCCTCCCCCGCTTTCCCCTTTCCCTCTCCTCCTTCCCGCGCCCCCCCCCCCCACGCCCCCCGCGCCGCGCTCCTCCTCACCCCTGAGCCCGATCCTCGCCTTCCCAACCTCCCTGCGCCCCCCACCGCCCCGCTGTCGACTTCGATCGGCGGCGCTTCGGCCACGCTCGCAGGGACAGCCTGTCGAGCAGGGTTGCTTGCACGGTCTCGGCGATCTTTCTGCATCAGCCTGGTGCGTCGTCGTCCTTGTCCGTGGTTCGGGATAGCTCCCTCGAGGGGCAGCGGATTCTCCCTCCTGCCTTGTTTTGCTGCTGGAAGCAATGATAACGCTCTCGCATCTTCGGTCGCGCGCAGCAGGGGCAGGAGGTCGCTCATTAGCGCAAGGTCAGACGGTGCACACAACACAGGACGGCCGGCCACGACGCTAGCTCCTCCAGCGGCGAGGGGGCGGCACCGTCGCGAGCAGTGAGGCGGGGCGCTCTTCGTCCAAAGAACACCTGTGCGACGCAAAACAAGGGTCCGACTGCGCCGCCATTTGCACGTGAGCTGCCCGCGTGAGGCTTCGCGTCGTAACGTGCCGTGCTGGCGTCCCGCGTGAGCCACCGCGTGAGGTCGCCATGCCATCTCGCGTGCGACCCGGATTTTTTTTTGTCGCCCACCCAGCGTTGCAGATGGCGGGTTTTGACGGAAGCAACCGAAGACCAATGCCCCAACGCACCTACACACACGCACACACAAACACACGCACACGCACACGCACACGCACGCGCACACGTACACGCAGTCGCACACGCACACGCATACGCACGCGCACGCGCACGCGCACGCACACGCACACGCACACGCAAACGCACACAAACACGCACACACGCACGCGCACGCGCACGCGCACGCGCACACGCACACGCACACGCAAACGCAAAGCCACGCACCCGCACACGCACGCGCACACGCACACGCACACACACACACACACGCATACGCACGCGCACACGCACACGCATACGCACACGCAAACGTACACACACGCACACACAGAGACACAGAGACACGGAGACACGGAAACACAGAGGCACAGAAGCACAAAGACACAGAGAAACAGCCACAGAGACACAGAGACACAGAGACAGAGACACAGAGACACAGAGACACAGAGACACAGAGACACAGAGACACAGAGACACAGGGACACAGGGACACAGGGACACATGGACACATGGACACAGACACACAGAGACGGAGACACAGAGACACAGAGGCACAGAGGCACAGAGACACAGACACACAGAGCCACGGAGACAGAGAGACACAGAGGCACAGAGACACAGAGACACAGAGGCACAGAAGCACAGAGACACCGGCACAGGGGGACACAGGCTCACACGAATACACGGACACAGGGACGCAGCGACACAGAGACACACAGACACACAGACACAGAGACACAGAGACACAGAGACACAGAGACACAGAGACACAGAGACACAGAGACACAGAGACACAGAGACACAGAGACACAGAGGCACAGAAGCACAGAGACACAGGGACACAGGGACTCAGACACACAGAGACAGAGACACAGAGACACAGAGACACGGGGACACAGGGACACAGACATAGACACACAGACACAGAGACACAGAGACACAGAGATATACAGACACAGAGACACACAGACACACAAGCACACAGGCAAAGGCACACAGACTCACAGACACAGATTCAGAGGCATACAGACACACAGACACACAGGCACACAGACACACAGACACAGACACAGAGGCACTGAGAGACAGAGACACAGAAACGCAGAGGCACAGAGGCACAGAGACACAGAGGCACAGTGACACAGAGAAGAGTGACACAGTGACACAGAGCCACAAAGACACAGCGACTCGACGACACCGCGACACAGAGACACGGAGGCACAGAGACACAGAGACACAGGGACACAGGGACAAAGAGGCACAGAGACAGAGACGCAGAGACACAGAGACACAGAGACACAGAGAAACTGATACACTGAGACCCAGAGGCACAGAGGCACAGAGACACAGATGCACATCGGCACAGAGACACAGAGACACAGGGACACAGAGACACAGGGACACAGGGACACAGAGACACAGGGGCACAGGGACACAGACACACAGATAAGCAGACGCACAGCCACACAGACACACAGACACACAGACATGCAGACACACAGACACATAGGCACAGGCACACAGACACACAGACACAGACAGAGAGACACTGAGACACAGAGTCACAGAGACAGAGACACTGAGACACAGAGGCACAGAGGCACAGAGACACAGAGACGCAGGGACACAGAGGCACAGAAACGCGGCGACACAGAGACACAGAGACGCAACGACACAGAGACAAAGGCACAGAGACACACCGACACACAAACACAGAGACGCACAGACACACAGACACACAGAGACACAGACACAGACACAGACACAGACACATAGACACAAAGACACAGAGACTCACCGACGCAGAGACACAGAGACAGGCACACAGACACACAGACACAGAGACACAGAGACACAGAGACACACAGACACAGCGACACAGAGACACACAGACACACAGACACACGGACACACCGACACACCGACACAGGCACACAGGCACAGGCACACAGACGCACAGACACAGAGACACAGATGCACGCAGACACACAGACACAGACACGCAGACACACAGACACACACAGATACACAGACACACAGACACACAGACAAACAGACACGCAGACACACAGACATACAGACACACAGACACAGAGGCACACACACACGCAGACACACAGATACACAGACACGCAGACACGCAGACAGACGCAGGCACACAGACACACAGACACACACGCAGACACATATATTCACGGACATATTGACACACAGACGCAGACACACAGACACACACAGACACACAGACACACAGACACGCAGGCACACAGAGACACAGACACAGAGACACAGGGACACAGAGACACACAGACACACAGACACACAGACGCACAGACACGCAGACGCACTGACACACAGACACAGACAAACAGACACACCGACACACATACACTGACACACACAGGCACAGACACACACAGACACACACGCAGACACACACAGACACACACACACACACACTTTTTGCGTCGGCGGCTTGGCAAAGGGACTGCTCGGGCGGTGTGCCAGACACACAGACACACAGACACACAGACACACACAGACACACACACACAGGCACACAGGCACCCAGACACACACAGACACACAGACACAAGCACACACAGACACACAGACACATATACACACAGACACACAGACACACAGACATACAGTCATACAGACATACAGACATACAGACATACAGACAAACATACCGACATACATACATACATACATACAGACATCCAGGCATCTAGTCACGCACAGACATGCACACACACATACACATGCACTCACACACGCGCCCACACGCACCTACACACCCACACACCCACACACGCACATCCACACACCCACACACACCCACACACACACACATCCACACACCCACACCTACGCACCCACACACCCACACACCCACACTTTAAGTCGGCGGCGCAGAGGAACCTCAGGCGCGGTCGGCAGATGGAGGTGCCAATTGCGGACGAGCTTAGTCGAACGCGCCGTGATGAAATTTTCCAGCCACGTCCAGCACACGCACAGCTTGCTTCCCTGCCCCCTCGCCCCCATGGGGCGGGAGCAGGCGAGGGTGCGTCGAGACCGACGCGCTGGCGCGCTGGGGGGAGTGGGGTGGGCCCCAAGGGTCCTGGGGAGGATGTGTCGCCAGCTGGCGACCTGGTTTCAAGCAGCGGCGAGGCGTCTTGGCTTGCCTATAGTGCCTATAGGCTCACGAACGGATGTGTTAACAACCTCTTGTTGTTTGCACGAAACGTTCTTGGAACGCGTCTGCCTGGTACTGCTTTGTTTCAGCCAACCAGTTGCATGTCCAATGGCATTTTTGTTATCGTCCTTATAACTTTCACAGGTCGTGGTAGGCATACGTCGACCACGCGTCAAAGTGGTGCTGACTCACGGGGGTCTCCCCAGCGCCGGTCTGCGCGCTTGCACTTGGCCCCCTCCCCCCTGCGGCCCCCCAGGCCAGGGGTGGACCTACACGGTGTTTTGGCGATTTCGTGGGCCGTTTTCGTTTCGGTTTCGTTCTGCGTTCCAGGCGAACTGAAGGTAATGCGAGGGACAACGAACACACATCGAGAACGAAGAACACCGTTTAGGTTCAGCCCTGCCCCGGGCCACGCACAGAGGATCACTCTTGCCCAGGGGCCCAGGGTCGCCCCTGCGGGTGGCCGAATCTAGGCATGCCGTGCCAGCCGGCCCTTGTTCATCTGAGGCGGGAATGTACACATGACCACCGCCTGGAGCATCAATTTTCGGAGCTTCGACAGGCGGTGGAAGTTGAATCTCCTCGGGCCCCTGGGGGCCCAAATGTATCCACATCCACCGCCAGCTGGGGCACCAGGACGTCGGCTCTCAGGCGGTGGATATGGATAAATCCCCGCCTCGCAGTTCAGTGGTCGTGAGCCCACGCTCAGCGGGCGGTACCCGTGCCGATCCGGGGCCCCCAGGGATCGCCCCGGCGAGGCTGCCTCGGGGGCCCCCGGGCGGTGTGGTGACGGCACGTTGTGGTGAGCCAGTCAACTGCAGCAGAGGCCACATAGTTCCACACAGGCTAAATAGGAACAGGTCCCAGCAGATGTTAAGTTTTGTTACAACACGTCGCACCTGAGCCAGCCAGGTGCAGCAGAGGCCAAAGAGGCCTCTCGTCAAGAAAACCCAGAATAGCCAAACCACGTCGTGGTGAACCAGTGGGCAACGGGCATAAGGGGGGGGGATGCAGCCACCCCTGATCGCCCATTGATCGCCGACAGGGGGCCGACAGCCCCAGCCTGTCCGGGAACGTGCGGGCTCATCAGCGGGGGCCTTATCATCGCCGATCTCTCGGCGGTGTATCGCCGATTCCAGGTCGACGCTTCCCCCCCTATGCCTACCCCCCCCCCCATCGCTGCCGTGCGGTGACGGACCGTGCGGTGAGGTCTTTGCGACTTTCAGGGTCGCCGGGCGGTCCGTCACCGAACCGTTTCGGACCCCCCGATCGTCGGTGCGTGCCCAGACCAGAGGCCTCCAGAGGCGGTTGGCCAGTAGGACCGAGACGGGCATGGAGCGAAGAATGACAAAGACCTACAGCAGCTCCTGTCCTTTTGAGCAGGACCCGCTGTCGGTGTTGGGAGCCCCCCTGTTGGAGCCCCCAGCCAGGGCCGCCCAAGCGACCGCACTGACTGGTGCACCCCCCAGAGGCGACGGGCGGGGAGTCGGTGGGCAAGGCGACGGTCTGCGGGTCGAGACAGCCGGAGAGGGAGCGAACCTTCTAGGGGGCACCGAGGCGCCCGAGGCGTGCCCAAGCTCGTCTCCACGCGAGGCGGCCACGAGTGCGAGCGCCCCGTGCAGAGAGCACACCGCGAGGCGTGCACGGGCTGCGCTGCCCGGCGCTCCGCCGTGCCTCCCGGGAGCCCACGGAGGTGGCGACGGCTGCGCAGTTCGCAGCCGCCCACGGGAGCCGCGAGGTCTCGCCTGGATCTGCGCTGCCCTGCACTCCGCCGTGCCTCCCTTGAGCTCACGACCGTGGCGACGGCTGCGCAGCTCGCAGCCCTCCCCGTAGAAAAAGGTTACGAGCAGGAGACGCACGGAGGCAGGAGGCGCGAGGAAAAGGGAGACGGAAGAGGAGGATGAAGAGGAGGAGGAAGAGGAAGGAGTTGGAAAAGAAGGAGGATGAGGAGGATGAAGAGGAATAAGAGAAGTAGGAAGAGGAGTAAGAAGAGAAGGTGGAGGAAAAGAGAGGATGAGAAGGAGGATGAGAGGAGGATGAGGATCGAGGAGGAGGAGGAAGAGGAGGAGGAAGAGGAGGATGAGGAGGAGGAGGATGAGGAGGAGGAGGAGGAGGGGGAGGAGAAAGAGGAGGAGGAGGAGGAGGAGGGGTTCTTGGAGACCGCTGTGCCCTATTCCACGCACGAGCTCAACGCACAGAAAAGGTCGGGGAAACGAGCCGCGTGTGTATGTTTTTGGCGCTCCGCACCCGTCGCCGTCCTGCCAGAGGAGGAGAAGGCAGCTCCTCGCGGGCCCCGCGCCCCCAGAGCAAGCGGGGCCCGCGGACTTCGACGCCCTCCGGCACATCGGCTCCCGGGCCGCGCACACCGTCTTCCTGCACCAGGCGGGCGGGCTCGCGACGCGTCCCTCCCCTCTGCCCCTCCCCTCCCCTCCTGCCGTCCGTTCCCTCCAAGTCCCCCTTCCTCTCCCCTGCCCCTTGCCTCCCCTCCCGGCTTCCTTCCCTGCACTCCCTCCAGCTCTGGTCCGCTCCTCCTCTCCTGGACCTCCGTCCCGCCTTGCCCCCTCTGCCCTCCCCACCCTCCCTGCCCTCCCTCCCTCCCCGATGGCCCCACGCCCTCTCCCTCGGGCTGTGCCCCCACTTGAGCGCCTTGACGGCGGACGAGGCGCCATGGGCGCTCGCACCCCACTCCACCCCCCTCGATCACGATTGCTTCAGTATCGTTTAAACGAACCCCATCCCCATCCACATCCCTATCCAGACCGCCACCATCTCAGCACGCCAGTTAGGGATATACACCCCTCGAAACCCGAAGGAAACAGCCTAAATCCCCGTCTTGGGTGGTAAACCGGCCAGTGGGGCCCAGGCCACGTCCATGGTGATATGGGTCGGTGAAACGGTGCTCAGTGCTGCAGAGCTTTAAGTTGCGGACTGGGCGTCGCTGGTGAGGCCCAGGAGTTTTGGCATCGGGCGAGGGCGGTGCTGCGTCGAGTGGGTTGTGGGCAGCTGGGTTGGTGTCGGTGGCGTTGCGGAACTGATCTGCGGACGTCGGGCCAGTCTGCGGACGTCCGGCGGAACTGATCCCATGTGGGGAGGTGTGTTTGTTCTCAACGATCTTGCGTTGGGTTCTCGTTTTGAATACAGCACTACTGTTTCCAACCTCCTTCTCCTCTTTCTTCCCGCATCCCTTCTCCTCTCCTCTCCTGTGCGCCTGGTGGCTTGCCTGTGGGGTCTGCAGAGTGTAAAGCTGGCGTGCCTTAGGAGCTGCGATCTGCGAAACTGTCGCCACTTTCGAGGGCTGCTGGGGGGCCAGCATAGTGGGTACTCGCCGCAGACTCAAGATTGGACCTCGCCATCCCTGGGGCGCTGCAATCCGTGAAACCGTCGCCACTTTCGAGGACTGCTGGGGGGGCCAGCATAGTGGGTACTCGCCGCAGACTTAAGATTAGACCTCGCCATCCCTGGGGCGCTGCGATCTGCGAAATTGTTGCCACTTTCGAGGGCTGCCGGAGGGGGGCAGCATAGTGGGTACTCGTCGAAGGCTCAGATTAGACCTCGCCGTCCCTGGGGGGCTGCGATCTGTGAAGCTGCTATGGGGCCAGCATAGTGGGTACTCGCTGCAACTTCAGATTAGACCTCGCCATCCCTGGGGGCTGCGATCTGCGAAGCTGTCGCCACGTGCGAAGGCGGCTGGGGGGACCAGCACAGTGGGTACCCGCCACAGACTCAGATTCGACCTCGCCATCCCTGGGGGGTCTGCGATCCGAGAAACCGTCGTCACTTTTCAGGGCTGCTGGGGGGCCAGCATAGTGGGTACCCGCCGCAGATTTCCAGTAGACCTCGCCGTCCCTGGGGGGCTGCGATCTGTGAAACTTTCGCCATTTTCGAGGGCTGCTGGGGGGGCAGCATAGTGGTACTCGCCGCAGATTCAGATTACACCTCGCCATCCCTGGGGGCTGCGATCCGCGAAACTGTCGCCACGTTCGAGGGCGGCTGGGGGACAGCACAGTGGGTACTCGCCGCAGGTTCAGATTCGACATCCCCATCCCTGCGGGGCTGCGATCTGTGAAACTGTCGCCAGTTTCGAGGACTGTTGGGTGGCCAGCATAGTGGGCAGTCGCCGCAGACTCAGATTGTAGACATCGCCGTCTCTGGGGGGCTGCGACCTGTAAAACTGTGGCCACTTTCAGGGGCTGCTGTGGGGCCAGCATAGTGGGCATTCGCTGCAGATTCAGATTACACCTCGCCATTCCTGGGGGTCTACGATCTGCGAAGCTGTCGCCACGTTCGAGGGCTGCTGGGGGGGGCCAGCATAGTGGGTACTCGCCGCAGATTCAGATTAGACCTCGCCATCCCTGCGCTCTGTCAAACTGTCACCACTTTCGAGGGCTGCTGGGGGGACCAGCACAGGCCAGCGCTGCATGTTTAGCCAGCTACTGAAAACAGCGGTACTCTTCTGTTTCCTCCCACCACTTTCATCGTCACCCTATTCCCCCTGTCACCTTCTCCATGCTGCTTCTGCCGCGATGGCTCCTCGCCCCCACAATTCCGTCATTCTCCTGCCCGTCGTTCCCTCCCCCGTTCTTCTTCAAGCCTGGGGCCCCACTCGCCCTGTCGATCGCTGTCCTGTGAATCGTGCGACGTGTGCGCATCCCACGTAGCTTGCACAACAAATCGCCGCGCCTGCACTGTCGTTGTTCCTGCCAATGTTGACCTACGTCTCTTTCCACTCGATGCAAATTGTTGGGTACGTCGCAGCGTAGTGTGAGGCTCTGAGGTGCTGTAGGCTGTGTGGAGTGGCCGCTCGTGATCGTGGTCAGTGGCTCGCCTCCAGCGGAGGAAACCATGGTGAGAGAGTGCGATGCCCGTGATGTGCCACTGTGGGGGCGTTGCTTAAGGCATGTGCCCAGGAGGGCGGCGGTGGCATCTATGGCCAATACACGATGGGAGCTTCACCGGCTTCCAGACCCTGGATCCCTTACCTAAGGGTTCCTTGTCTCAGGAGGGAAAGAAACACACAGACACAATTCATCGTCGATTCCCCAGAAGATATGGGAAGATATGGGCAGTGGGGGGGAGGACAGGAATCCAGAAAAGATGGGAAAATATGGGGAATCTTTGTTTGTATGTATTGGAAAATATGGGAAAATAAAGGAACATATGGGGAAATATGGGGAAAATGTGGGGAAATATGGAAAATATGTGAAAAGATGGGGAATCCTTTTATTTGTGTGTATTTATTTGTGTGTCCTGGAGCCCCTTCCTTGTCCCCTGCCTGTCGCCACAGGCGAGAGGAGGCCCGCAGCGTCGCAGCGCCGCCGTTGCCCTCGGCTTCCCGCCGCCGGGAGAGGCCGCTCCGGGCGATCCCGGGGCGCATATTTCCTGGCCGATGGCGAGCGCGGGGAGCGGCGCACGCAGCGGGTAGGGGGCCACAAGCGAACCCTACCCCTACCCCCCACGATTTTCCGAGCGAAGTGAACCCCACCCTCCCCCTCAAAAATCGTGGGGGGTAGGGGTAGGGTTCGCTTGTGGCCCCCTAGCTGGGTAGTCGAAGCCAATCTGGCGCCAATCTGGCAGGCCCAATCTGGCAAACGGGGGGCCATCTGGCGAGGGAGCCAGCGCGAATCCAGTCTGGCGGATGACCCAGATCATCCCGTTTGGCCGGGCCAGATTGGCCCTTGGGGCCCAATCCAATCTGACAGTCTGGCCTTCGACTGCCCAGAGGCAGCGGGGAGCGGGGCTCCGACACTCGAATCTCAGCTCCAGTGCGGTCACAGGGGGGGCGTTCGTGGATCGCGCCCTCTTCCGTCCTGCTCGTCCTTCTCCCTCCTCGTCCTCGTCGTCGCTGACGTCGTCGATGGTGGGCGAGTGGTGAATGGTGGTGGTGATCATGATGCTGCTGATGATGGCGGTGATGCTGCTGGCGACGATCATGCCGACGATGATGACGATGACGGTTCTGATGCCGATGCCTATGCCGATCACGACAACGATGACGACGAGGACGACGATGAAAACGACGACGACGATGATGATGACGAGGATGATGGTGGTTATGGTGATGGTGATGGTGATGGTGACGGTGATTGTGATGGTGATGGTGGTGGTGATGGTGATGATGATGTTGATGATGATGATGATGCTGGTGATGCTTATAATACTGATGATGAAAATGATCGTGCGACGACGATGAAGAGATCATGATGCTGATGATTATGATGATGTTGAGCATGATGCTGCAGAGGATGATGCTGATGAATGTGTAGTTGACGATGATGGTGATGATGGTAATGCTGATGCTGATGCTGCTGCTGCCGGTGCTGCTGCTGATGATGCTGCTGCTGGTGATGATGCTGATGCTGCTGCTGATGATGATTCTGATGATGATGCTGATGATGATGCTGATGCTGATGTTGATGTTGATGTTGCTGATGATGATGCTGATGATGCTGCTGATGATTGTGTTGAAGATGATGATGATGATGATGACGACGATGCTGATGACGATGCTGATGCTGATGCTGATGATGATGATGTTGATGATGATGATGATAATGATGATGGCATTGATGATGATATTGATGATGATGATGATGCTGATGATGATGACGATACTGATGACGATGATGATGATGATGATGATGATGATGATGATGATGATGATGACGATGATGATGATGATGATGATGCTGCTGATGGTGATGGTGATGGTGATGGTGATGATGATGATGATGATGATGATGATGATGATGATGATGATGATGATGATGATGATGATGATGATGATGATGATGATGCTGAACTCGAATGCCATTTCGCGCGTCCGAAGCTTCAAGAACCCGTGGGTTCACTCGGCTTGCTTGCGCGCGCTATCAGGTCCAGGCGGCCGAGGACGAGGAGGAGCAGGCTGAGGAGGAGGAGGAGGAAGACAAGAGGAGGAGGAGGGGAGGAGGAGGGGGAGGGGGGAGGAGGAGGAGGAGGAGGGGGAGGGAGGAGGAGGAGGAGGAGGAGGAGGAGGAGGAGGAGGAGGAGAGGAGGAGGAGGAGGAGGAGGAGGAGGAGGAGGAGGAGAGGAGGAGGAGGGGGCGGAGGAGGAGGAGGAGGAGGAGAAGGAGGAGGAGGAGGAGGAGGAGGAGGAGGCGAAGCCCTCCTAGTGCCCCCCTCCGTTCTCCCTCTCGGCCGCCTCGGCCGCGGCCGCCAGGGGCCCTCGGCGGCCCCTCCGGCGCCGAGCGAGCTGCGCAGCCCCCGGGATGCCAGGATGGGCAGCAAGGCGGGCCGCTGGGTGGGCCCCCTCCTGCGTCCGTCCTCTCCCGTCCCTCCTCCTCATCTCCCCTTCCTCCTCCTCCTCCTCCTCCCTCCTCCTCTCCTCCTCTCCCTCCCCGTCCTGCTCCCGTCCCTGCTCCCCGTTCCTCCTCCCCGCCCCGGCTCCCCTGTCCCTGCTCCCCGTCCCTCCTCTCCGTCCCTCCCTTCCCCTCCTTCCCCTCCCTCCCCCGCTCCTCCCCCCCCACCCCTCCTCCTCTTCCTCCTCCTCCTCCTCCTCCTCCTCCTCCTCCTCCTCCTCCAGAACGCGCGTGCTCACCCCTCGTTGGTCGAGCCGCGGTCCAACGCGGGCGACCGCGAGCTCGCCGCCTACCGCAAGACGTTGCGGGAGATGGCGGCGGCGACGGGCCGCAGACTCCAGGCCGCGATCACCCTCGGCATGGACGAGGCGCGACTGGCTCATCAGAAGCTCGAGTATGCGGTCCAGCTGTGCATGATCATCATTGCGAGAGCCCCAGGTGATCGGTGTGACCGACAAATGGCGTACGTCCAGCACGCCCAGACGAAGCTGGACAAAGCCAAGGGTGCTCGCGAGAAGGCCCGCATACACTTCGAGGAGACCGACAGCAAGTGCTCTCAACGAGAGCGGGAGCTTGCCCGTGCACAGGTGCTGCTGGACCAACTAGAGGAGTTGCGGCCGCCACCCAGCACGTCTGACGACGTCGGCATGGGCAGCAGCGTGCCGCCGACCCCACCAGCTGATGGCGGCACCGCGACTCTCCCACGGCCCCAGGGACGCCGCAGGGGACTCCCCAGCCGCAGCCGCAGCTGGCTGCCATCGCCGAGCTGCAGAGCGGACAGGCCGCCCTGACACAGCAGCTTTCGTCCCTGACAGCGATGCTGGCGACGCTGCAGTCGGCAATGACGTCTACACGCTCGACCCTGCGCCTCCGACGGCCGCCGCGGGTGGGGTGCCGCTGCCCTTCGCAGGCCAGCCGCAGCGGCTCGCGCCCGAACAGGCGGCAGCCGCCCCCACCGCCGCAGGCGTGCCCGTCGGCGCAGCAGGAGACGAAGTCGCCGCGGAGGCGACAGCGGCTGGAGGTGCTCCAGCTTATGACGTTCCCGTGGGCGCTGGTGACCCTGCTGCGGAGGAGCTGCGCAGGCGCGCTGCCGAGGCTCGGCGGGCCAATCAGGAGCAGGACCGCGCGCGCCGCCCCGCTGGCCAGCCTCGCCTCGCCGAGGCCATCGCCCGCCAGCAGGCGGTCAGCCACCGCGGTCGCGGCGCCGAGCCTCCTGAGCCAGCAGGCCGCTCTTGCGCGTCGCAGAGGCACTTGGCGACGAGGCGGCGGCGGCGGCCGCCGGGCGCACCGGGCGCAGCCGCGGCCGCAGCCCGATGAGGCCCGGCGGCTTCGAGGTGGTACTCCTCCCGCTCCTCCTCCTCCGCCCCCTCCTCCTCCTCCTCCTCCTCCTCCTCCTCGGCACCGTCGGCGCTGGGGTGATGATTCGCGGCGGGCAAGCCGAGGTGGGTGAGATGCCAGCGCTGTCTCGCAGCTTGCCCGAGGTTGACAGCGCAGCCGGCGCGAATATGCCACCCTGTGCTCAAAGGGCCGCTGAGCCTGGTTGCCCTGTCTGCCCTTTGCCCGACTGCAGCTCTCTTGTCAGGCGTCTTTGTCGGCCTTGGCCTAGCAGTCAGACTCTCACTCCACTTTTCCTTGGGCCTCATCAGGGCCCAGAGCATTGCAGTTTCCAGCCTTACCCTCATAGTAGTACGGTCAAGTTTTCCGAAACCCACGGAGCCCCCCTTCCCGAGGATTTTCAGCTTGTCGGGTTCGAGATTTATACGGATGGTTCTGGAGGTTCCCGTTCCAAGGACGCAGGTGGACCACCGTCTTGGGCATGGGTTTTATTTTCAGTTACACGTAACGAACATTATGTATGCCATGGATACCTGTGTGGAATAGATCCTACTCTCCCCGGCGCAGTTGCCAGTGTTTCTGGTGCCGCCGAATTACAAGCTGCCCGGTGGTTTGTGCTATGGCTGCTGCAAGCGCCTGAGTATTTCCGCTCCCGACCACTGGTGGTCTACACGGATAACATCTTCGTGGCTCATTCTGCTGAGGGCGGAACCTGATACTGTTCCTGAGGAGCCCTCAAGTTACTGAGACGTGACGTATCACTGTCTTTTCCTGGGAGACAATGCGGACCCGCTGAATGAGCTTGCGGATGCCATTGCACGACTAGCCTCCATGGGGTTAACACTAGTCGTGGAAGACGATTGGCAGCCGTGGTCAGCGCTACAGTCTTGTGCCGCCGCCGCCCCATGGATGTGGTTATGCACCAGCGCCAACGCCGGTCATGGGGAATATCCGAATGTTGGTGAATGTGACATGCCTACCATCTCACCCCCGCAACTCGAGATCAGTGCCGCGTTCTCGCCACGAGAGCCAGCAACTGCGTCCCAATCAGGTTTGCGACCTTGTCAGGTTGGCGGTGGCAAATGTGCTCACCCTGCGGCCCCGCAGGAAGGCTGGGCGCGTGCGTGGCTCCACTCGCATGCGCTGTTGCTATCAAGACGCGGCTGGGCTCGACCTCCCCGGCCGCATGCTGGCACTTCCTTTTCCTCGTCGGTGCGTTAGAAACTCGCTTGCGCAGGAGTGCGTGGACACCAGCAGGTGAATACATGGTCGTCGCGTCGTCAGCAATCGCACGTGGCCTGGGTGGTGTGGCTCTGTGGGTGCATGCACGGCATGAGTATACACGTGGTCACCTACTTGCGCGTCGACACATGCGTGTTATCACCTACTCGGCACGACGCCTGCTTGTGGGTATCCGTGCGCCGTACTTGGGCGTCGATGTGCTCGTTGCTCACGCACCGCACTCACGACGGCCACTTGACGAGATCCACTCATGGTGGGGTGCGATCGAGAGGGGCATCCATCGGCGAGCCCAGCCAGCCCCCTTCTGCTGTCTCTTGGATGCTAACGCGTCAGTGGGCTCACAGGTATCAGAGCATGTTAGCGTCAACGATTTCACAGCTTCCTTCGGACCACCAAACAATGCGCGCAATCGACGTTCTGGCCATCTGCTACTGGGGCCCACGCTACATGGCTGGCGCCAAACCAACAAGGCCTTGAACCTCAGCGCCGTATAGACTACATCGCGGTACCAGCAGGGCAGCTTGATACCGTTGTGCAGCAGAGTGTAGCTGTAGACATGGATGTGTCCTTGCGCTCAGACGACCACTTCGTGGTCACGGCCGACGTAATCATCCTGGGAATGGCGCGCAGTGCGAACGTGCGCACGCATGGGGCAAGCTTAAGCTCGATGGGGCCAAGGTCATCGACCCCGCCTGTCAGGGGTCCTTTGCGGACGCCGCGGTACCCCAACCCCGTTTTACCACCCGTCCCGATGACCGCGCAGATCATCTGAATTCTCATCTCCTACAGGCGGCTAACGCGCGCCGTCCGGCCTGCCGAGACTGCCAGCGGTCGCGCGCCACGAAGCGCTTGGATTTCCCAGGGCCCCCTAGACCTCATGGACCAACGCGCCACGGGACGCAAGGCCCTGCGGGCTCTCCGCGCGCGGATACGTACCACAGTTGCGCTTGGTATGCGTCTTCACGGCTTGGGCCTCGGATGGGGCCTTGGAAGGCGAACGGTGCTGTTACCGTACCTTGCGTCGGCGACGCGTGCGCCGTGACGGTCCTTCGCACTCCCCCATCCTGCAGGCGTGTCGACAGATAGCAACAGCGGCTGATCAACTGATGGATACCGCTCTACCCTTCACACGCCCGCTGCAGACCCCCACAGGAGGTCACGCCATCCCACCGTTCCTTCAGTCCCACCTAGTAGGATTACGCTTCCAAAGCCGACATCCGACTGTCTTGGACTTGGGGATGACACTATTCGGTTACTACTTTTGTCTACCCACGGTTCTGGATCACTACCATGCGTGGACCCGTGCTTTCTTGGCGGCGAGTTACGTTTTCCGGAAAGCCCCGGCCTATGTTGCGCCAACATTTTCAAGGAAGTAAAATCAGCCTGGGACCGACGACAGTTCGCAGAAGCCTACGCTACTTTGCGTCGGATCGGTGCAGGATCTAGACGACGACGCATGACGAGCGCTCCCCCTGCTCTGCGAGATGTCAGCGGTCAGGCCTCGGTCCCTGAAAAGGCTGTGGCACGGCGGTGGCAACAACGCGCTGCCGCCTTAGAGCTCGCCGCTACGATGCCTATGGACGATATTCCGCATATTGCTGCATGCTTCGCCGACAGCCCTACCAGGGCATGCCCTGTCAGCCAGTGCATTTGTCCTCCGTGCCGTTTCTTGCTGACTTCCAGTGGCCCTGCCGACAGGCCAGACAGTCTGCTCCTGGGTGCCGTGGGATTCCTGGCCGCCTCTTGCAAGCATGTCCCGCAGCGATTGCCGAGTTCTACTACCCTCTACAGTTAAAGTTCGTACTTGCACTTATGGAACCAATCCAGTGGAAAGGCGGCTTCTATCAGGACCAAAAAAAAAGTCTTGTCTTTCCGGCCCTACCCAGTGCGCCAGCTCTCGTTTGATTCTGGCGTCGTCTCAGCTGGGTAAAGCTCCCCGCCGGTGCATCAGACGAAGCAGGTGAAACTCAGCTCGGAGGACCCCCCGGACGAGGTGCAGCACATGCCTCCGTCATCCTGCTCACGGCCCAGTCTCTGGCCAAGAAGGGCAACGTATCCTGCGGCGCGCTATTCCAGGACGTCCCGCAGGCCTTCGCAGGGCCACGCGGGAATTAGTGGTCAAGGCACATCGGGATTCGGACATGGGCGATGCTACTATCGCCACCGTCGTACGGGCTGCAGGGCTCGTGCCCGACGCCCTGCGCCGACTCGCCGACCGACTCCGCTCCAACCCTCGCCCGCTCCGGCCTCGACCCCCGCGTCGTCGCCCAGGTCGAGCAGTGCTACTTCACACCGTGGTTTGTACATGAGGGTTCTGGCCAGGTGTCGATGCCCCAGCGTTCATTTTTTTGCAGGCCAACCGCTCGCATGCGTTCTCTTTGAGCTACAGATGGCGGGTTGCATGAACGAAGTCCGACGACAGCTCTGCGGCGACGGCCACCGCGCACCCCTGCCCTGCCCTGCGGGGCGCAGTCTTGCAGCGTGCCTGTCAGGCGAAGGAGGGGCAGAGGTGGCACTCACAGATATTTCGTATGCAGACGATGGCACAGTCATCTTGCTCATGCCCGCGCAGCTTTTGTTCGACGGGCTCACCAGAGCCCTAGTTTCAGTGCCCGAAGCTTTCGCCACCCGGGGGCATCTACTGAACCGTGGCCCTACCAAAACAGCGGCGCTGATCGCTTGGCGCGGTCCTGGGACCAAAGCCGCGCGTCGCTCGGCGTGGCGCGAACGTGGAGGCAATACCTTGGGCGAGTCTGCTATCCTTGGGACGATCAATGCACCCATCGTGCAAAACTGCATTCATGTGGCTTCCGTGTTCGATGCAGGTGCGTTGATGACGCCGGAGATTCGATATCGAGCCACCTCTGCTGCCTCCCTCCAAGTGCTACGACGACGAGTCTGTGCGACCGACGACGTCGACCTCTCTTGCCGCCTTATTCTTGCAGTCAGTCTTGTGATGTCCAGCCGACTGCATTGCAGGTGCATGGCCTCCCTTGCAGTGTCAGAGGAGCGTCTTGCACGCGTGGAGGTCATGAAAAGGGTATCGTGCAGCTGCGCACGTCAGTTACCGTGAGTATACATCCCAGGTCTCCGACGCACTGGTTCTTGCTAGACTCCGACGGCCCGACCCATCTACATTGATGCGGGCGGCCCGTGTAATGCTGTTGGGGTCCCTGGTCCACGCAGGCCCTCGGCTGGCCTTCGCAGTGATTGCAGCTGAGTGGGGAACCTTCGAACGCGATGCGGTACGCCAACAGCGAACCGCCATGGGTTCTGGATTACGGATCTACAGTGGCTGCAGGAACCTGCAAGATGTTGTGCAGATCTCCCCGATCCCGCCGCCGATTTCGGTGCGCGGGAGACATTCAGGCAGCGCAGTCAACCAGCATGGAAACGGGCCATTCAGATATGGGGTCTACGCACATACACAGCATTCGACACGACCCACACTTGCCCAGAACGTGGAACGACAGTTTTTTGCTGACGCGGCCGCTGCGGGTGCACCGGCCAGGGTCTACACCAACGCAGAGGGCATGGTCGCCCCGCCACCGCCAGCGCCCATGCCCACTACGCACACCTGCCCCATGGTGCGGGCTCCAGTATCAGCGTCACCGCGCACTACGCGTCCATATCGCACGCCACCACTGCCAACTTACTACGCTTGCGTGGGGATGCGCTTCACCGACAGGCACCTGCACGGCACGCCTCGATACCTACTACGCCCGACCCCACCTCATCGATCACCTGTCGATCGATTCACCACGATGCTTGCTCTTAGGCATACTATCTAACGACAACCCATCCTACTGCATCGCGCAGCCCATCGACCCACACCACGACCACCTGGCACCACCCCGTAGGTCCACATAGCTCGACGTCACGCTGTTGTGCCCACGCTACGTGCCCAAGGCCACCTCCCCGAAGTAGCCAGCACAATAGCCAACGCCGTCACGCAAGCAGCACCCCGACTGGCCCTCCTCGAATGCGACCCCTACCCCGCCGAAGCCGCCAAGGATGCCCCACGGCCGCTGCTTCGCCAATATGCCCCACCACAGCCCCCAGACATCGCATGCCCACCGCCACAAATCGGGCGTTATCCCACCGGCACGTTCCTGACCAGCCAGTGCGCAGACAATGCCGCGCAGATGCTTCCGATCGCCATCGAGCGGGCTGAGTACTTTGCATTCAACTTCTACTGGCGGGGGCGGTGCTTCTGCGAGGAACCTGACACAGTGTTGACCTGCAGGACAAAGGAGAATAAACTCTGCCAATACGGAAAAGCAGACCATCCATTCAGCCACCCAGCAAGGCGACCGTCACCCGGCATCTCCCGGTTGTGGTAGCCAAGCTGCCTGGCGACACCCTCCCTCTACCTCCTCCTCCTCCTCATCCTCCTCCACCTCCTCCTCATCGGCTGGCTGCATCTTGGGGTTGTGGGGATCTGCGTGGCGCCCTCCTCCTCCGCCCCCTCCTCAGCCTCCTCCTCCTCCTCCTCGGCCTCCTCCTCGGCGGACCGCAGGCGCGGCCCCGCCTCCTCCTCCTCGGCCTCCCGAGGCTGCGGCGCAAGCTTCCCGCTTGAACTTGGCCAGGCGCATCTTCTGCGTTTGCCGCCCGCACCGCTCACAGACGACCGGCTGGGAGTTGTCAGCTCCGGGGGGAATGGGCCCAAGCACGTGGAGGCCCTGGGAGTCCGCGACGGCATTGTGCTCCTGGCGCTTCCGCTCGGCGACGGCGTTGTGCCCAGCAGCCATCCTCTCAGCCGTCACCCTCTTGGCAGCGGCCACAGGTGGCGCCGGCGGTCCGTGCCGGACAGCTGCCGGCATGGTCGGTGCGGGGCCGCCTGCGTAGTCTGGCCGCCATTGGAGGTGAGCATGGCGCCTCTCTGCCTGTCCACGCTGCACCGCGCGCAGCAGCACCTCATACGTGAAGGGCTGCACGAAGATGGCACGCGAGGTCACCCCCGGGCCCTGCTTGAAGCCGAGCGCCACGAGGGCGGTGACCCGAGAGACCACTGTGAGGTCCCCGAGCGCCCGTTGCCTGTTGCCCCCGCGTTGGCGCTGCTGCCTGGGCGTGGACAGCTGCCAGGTACGAGAGGCCACATCTGCAAACTTCTGGGCCCGCGCGGCCATGGCGCTGCCAGGCGGAGCTAGCTCCACGCCAGTGCTGAGCTCGAAATCCACGGCCAGCTCGGCCCATGTGGTGCCAACCTCGGAGGCGGCAGCGTCGAACCGGAGCTGGCCCAGGTACCAGCGCATGGCGTGGTATCTGTCGTGGCTCCCCATCATCCAATTCCCACTGTGGAGGGTCACAGGGGACCCCAGGATGAGCTGGCGCGTGGCCTTGGCCTGGTGCTGCCAAGGGTACCGGGGGAAATCAGCCTGCTCGAGCGCCACCGCCGCCAGTGCAGCGCCGGAAGGGGCCGGCTCGCCACTGGGTGGGTCAGCTGCTGCCAGGTCTTCGGGGCCCGGCCCACCTGGCGCGTCCTCCTCGCCCTCCTCGCCCTCCTCATCCTCCTCCTCCTCCTCCTCCTCTTCCTCCTCCTGGTGGCCCCACAGGGCGATGCAGCGCACCATGTGCCGTTGAACGGCTTGGGCCTTCTCCTGGTTGGCCTCCTTCAGGCGGATGGCCTGGGTCAGGCGCTGGAGGCCCGTGTGCCGCTTGGACCCCTGCACGGCGAGGTCGTCAACAAGTTTGTTCCACCTCAGCTCCTGCTCGTGTGCCGCACGGCCGTGCGCAGCGACCCAGGTGAGGGCGGAACCTGCTGCGAGGGCCGCCCGCGCGAGGGGCTCCAGGCGGCGCCAAAGATCCAGCTGCTCCCTGGGGTGGAAGGACGGGCCTCCGCTCCACGCTGCCCAAGCCTTGGCGGCGCACTCGTAGTCCGTCAAGATCTCCACCTGCAGCCCCAGCCGGCCGGCCTCGGCGAAGACCAGAATGATGGCGAGGAGCTCGGCGCGCCCACTGGATTGATCCATGCCGGGGAGAGCTGCACTGAGGTTGCCGCACCGAGGGCCCACGTAGATGCCCAGACCGGCCCGGCGAGCCCATCCCAGCTGCTGGTTCCAGCACGCCCCGTCCGTGGCAATCACAAGCCGGCCTCCGCGATACCACGCCTGCTGAGAGACCCGCAGTCGCCACTGTCGCAGCAGTTGCTCCTGGCCCGGCGCGGCGGCAGCCAGCCAACCACCAGCTTCGCGGACCTCCGGCGGCTCACAGACAATACCACGCCGTGTGAGGCATCGCGGAAGGGTACCGTTCTGGGCTCCCTGCACCACGGCTGGCGGCAGCTCCCGGCGAAGGGCCGCTGTGCACCGGCACTCCCAGAAGAGGTGCCCGAGCGTGCCTTCCGCTGCTTGGCACAACGGGCACGTCGCCGACTCGACGAGGCCAGCCTTGAATAGCCGGGACTGCGGCCGCACGCCTCCAGTGAGCACGCTGCGCAGCACCCCCATCTCGTAGTCGGAGAGGGCGTCGGCTCCCTTGTGCTTCACGAGGGAAAGGGCCGCGTCGAGGTCGATGCCCGCCTCGGGGTCCAGCCCGTCCAGGTACCACAGCTGGCGTCGGGCAACTTGCCTCCAAAGTGCGCTCCGGCAGCCTTGGCGGAGCTCGTGTCCCAGCAGGCGCCCACTGAGAGTCCAAAGATCAAGATCAGGAAGGCCTGGCCGCTGGAGGGTACCTGCCATCGCACACGACCACCCCATGAAACGTAAAGCTTGTGCCAGCGCTGCTGCGGGCCCGTGCGTGGGGCGACGGCGCCAGGGCAGCGCCTCCCGGGCAAAGTAATCCGTCCAAATGCGGTCAGCCACCTGTCGTCGCAAGCGGCACGTGGACCCCAGCTCGGAGAGGATCCGGATCGGCGCGATCTGGACAGGGTCGACCTGGTGCCCTGGCCACGCAAGCGTCCAGATGAGTTCGGGAGCAGCCGTCAAGCGGCCGACGAAAAGGACCTCCCGCACCTGCTTCCGCACGGCGTGCACGCGCAGCTCGTCCCAGCCACGCACATCAACGCCATAGGCAACCATGGGATTCATGTGGCTCTGCACCATGCCCGCCTTCTCCTTCAGCGGCAACGGCAACGCCCGGATACGGCTCAGCCGGTTCCCGGCCTCCTCGAAGCGTTTCTCCTCCTTGCCGTCACAAGGTCTGGCCGTGGGCTGGGTCGCCTGCGTGACCCCCAGTGTGACGGGATCGCGCACCACCACCTGCCCAGGCCGCGCTGCGAGGAGCGTCGCGGCCAGCGCGTCCGAGGTGGTCCACAGCGCCTGCTTGGTAGGGTTGCGCTCCTGGTCTGTGTCGGTCGAACTCCCGTGTGGCATCTTCTGCCCGCTGAAGGGCCCTCGCCGTGTCGGTGATCAGGCTGCGGTCGTCCAGGTACGCGTTGCAGCGCGCCTCGGGCACCGCGCGCTCCATGCTGGCGGCCCACACGCTGACCAAGGCATTGAGGGCGATGATGGACAGCGCGCACCCCTGGAAAATGCCATTCGATGAAGGGCACGGCGAAGACCACGCCCTGCCGACCCGAAAGAAGCGTTGGCACTGGTCGTACATGCCTCGGAGGGCCCGCAAGACCCCGGCGTCCATGCCCATGTCGGCCAGCAGCTGCAAGACCACCTCCCTGGGGACACGGTCGAAGGCCTTCGTGTAATCCAGCAGGAGACCGCACACCTCCCGGTCCTCGAGGGCGGCAGACTCGATCTCCAGGGCGATACGGGTGTACACGTCTTTGGTGCTCTGGCGGCTGCGCCCTTTCGCCCGATAGCGAGTGCGCGGTCGCGCCAGCGAGTCGCCGCCCTCGTCGCCCGCGCCGGCTGCAGCGCTGTCGGGAGCGTGCGTCGCCTGCAGGAACTGCTCCGCCGTCTGGGAAAGCTCCGCGTAGCTGGCGGCGGTCAGCTGGTCGGGCCCGCAGTGCTCCGCCACCCAGGTGGCCGCCTCCTCCTCCGAAGCACGCCGCTTCCATTTCTCGTACCGCTGCGTGGGTTTGAGCTGGGACACCGGGGCGGCCTCGTAGTCGGTGGCGATCTGAAGGTCCAATGCGGCGTGGCCTGGGTAGCCCAGGTCCCAACGAACCGCAAATCCGCGCACCAGTGCCAGGGCGGCCGCGTTGGCAACCATGTAGTCGATACGGCTAGCGAAGTGCGTCCCTACGAACGTGGGGCCCGTCTGCTGCCAGACCTCTGCCACATCGCTCCATTTGCCCGTCTGTAGCGCGCCCCCGAGGATGTGCGAGTTCCGTAGATTGAAGTCCCCGCGCACCAGGATCGGCAGGTCGCCCAGTTCTGCGGCCGCCGCGAAAGTGTCCTCCAAGATCTGCTCGTTCAGCCGCTGGTGGAAAGGGCTCCGCGCAGCGACACCGTGGAGGTAGTTAGAGGTTGAACACGTGCAAGTGTCGCCTTCTGGCCTTGGCGCCCAGCTGCACGCGGAGGTGGAGGCAGCGCCCGCCCCGCTCAAGCCTCCTCGCAGTCTCCGTGGCGGCTTCCACTCGGGCACAAGGCGCGGAGGCCCGAGCGAGCGCCAGCACCCCGCCGGCTTGCCCGTCGAAGGGGCTCACCCGGTCTGGCCGGCGCGAGGCCTGCGGGGGCCCCCACTGGCAGGTCCAATCCTTCTCCAGAAACCGCTTGCCCAGGCTCTTCTGCATGGATGCCGACGCCCACGTCTCTTGCACGAGCACCAAGTCGGCGGCCGAATCCACGAGCAGGTGGAAACGTGCCTCCGCACCCGTGACATTGACACTTCGGATGGTCAGTAACCGCTCACGGTGCGCATCTGCCAGGCCTTCCACTCTCCGCCACGCGGCCGGGTGCCACGCTGCGTGTCGCACCAGCCCGCCGGCCTCCAGCTGCTCTGGGGGCGCGTGTCGGGACGCCCGCACCCGGGCCCCGAGCATGTCATAGTGGTCCACGCCGTTGCACAAGATCCAGATCGTCCCGTCGCCCGCCTGCGGTGTGAGGTCGGCGCGCACCGCCCCAGCAGCGATGACCCTGAAGATGATGTCAGCGAAGCCGGCTCCTTGTCGGCGCACCACGTGTATGGTAGCTCCAGTGACAGCGGCTGCCGCGTGCAGGGTCAGGTAGTCGCCCCAACAGCCGGGCTGATGCATAGCTGCCAGATAGGGGCCCCAGGCTGGGCCCACCAAGAACTCTTCGAATTCCGCCCGCCGGGGAGCCATGTAGTCAGTGACTTTGCGCCGCAGCATGCGCGCATTGCCCGCTGAGGTCTGCCGGGCGATCGCCTCGAACTGGCAGTCCCCGTTCCCTGCGATGGTAACCGCACGTCTTCCAGCCACGGCCCTGCTGGCCTCTGGAGAAGCGCCGCCACCTCCCTGATGTAAAAGATGATGCCCTGTGGGCGGTTTACGTGAATTCTCCTGCAATCTCCGGAGCGTGGCAAGCTCCCGCCGGCACTCACTGAGAGTAAGCCGCTGCTCCTCTGCATGCTCTCGGAGAGGTGAAACAGCGCTCGTAAGCGCCTTTAGACTAATGCTTTCGTGGAGCTTTCCGGCCCTCTGGCCCCTTAAGAAAACTCATCACCTCATCGAAGCGCGTGTCAATCTTCTCCTCCAGCGCCGTGTGCTTGGCCTCCAGGCTCTCCAGCTTGGTCTCCAGGGCCCCGACACGGCCCTCGATGGTGGCACTGGAGTCGGCGGCGGGGCCAGGTGCTGCCGCGAGGCCGTGCTGGTTAGGCACCGCCGCGGGGCCGTCGGCGACCTCTGGCGCGGGGCTGGTCCGCGGGGCCGTCCGTGAGCGCTGGCGCGGGACCGTTCCGCGCTGGCGCGGGGGCTGGATATCCGCGCCCTTGGTGATCGACAACCAGCCGCTCTGCACCCGTACCCACGTCTTGGGTGGGGCCGTCGCTGCTCCGACAAGCCACGTGGCCAGGCCAGGGGTGCCCTTCGGTACCCAGGGGGTTCGGAGCGGGACCACCTCCCATCGTAAGTCGTGCAACATCTTGACCAACTGCTTGGGCGTCAAGCCGGCTGGGACTCTGGCCACCTCGTAGCGCTTCGTGTACACCAAAGCCCGATTCGTATCATCGAACGCAGGGGCATCAGGCAGCAGCTTCGCGCGTGCCGCGGCGACATTGGCCACCTTGACCCGGACCCCAAGGCCCCTGCTGTTGACCGCGAGTCCCATGAAGCCGTCGATCGTGGCACCTGTCGTGCGGGCCTTGTGCAGGCTGACGTCCCCAGGGAGCCAGACGACCGCGTACTCCGAGCTGTCGTGGGCTCCGTCCCGCAGGAGGCGGCGGAAGAATACCTCCTTGGCGCCCGAGCCCTTCAAAATCGCCTCGGCGTCGTGGGTCTGCATGCGCATGGAGATCATCATCCGCGAGTGGTCTGGGTGCTCCTGGACCCGGAAGCCGTAGAAGTCGAAGCGCGAGGGCGCGGTCACGGTGTCCCCCAAGTCCGACAGCGCAGCCAAGATGGCCTCCTTCAGCGCCCCGGCCTTCCGCTCCTCGAGCTTCTTGAACAGTCCGGGGGCCGCGAACCGGCTGTCGACCTCTGCCGCGAACTCGCGAGTCTGCACGTCGGGCGCTTCGATGGCCTGCCCAGGGGCCTCCTTGAACGACACGGTCTTGGTGCCCAAGTTGACCACGGTCACCTGCTTCAGCTCCTGGCGCTTCAGCTTGGTGTCAGTAACGCCCACGTGGCCGACGGAGGCGGCCGACGACTGCAGGCCGAGCTTCACCCAGAGCTCGGTGGCCTCTCGCCGTCCTGGGAGGATCACGGCCAGGTGCGAGTTGGACCGGACGGTGCCCACCTCCTCCAGCAGTTTCCACGATGCGAAGGCCACGCCCTCCACCCCCTGAGCCACGGCGGACGAGGCGATCACCTTCGGCTCCAGAACGGCGGCGCGCTGCTTGCCAGTGCCGTCGTCCTCCGTCCCCGGCGTGCCCAGCGTGTCTGATGCCAGAGTGAGCTCTTCCCATTTGCAGCGGCCGGTCGGGGCAGGCGGCCGGCCACCTGGCTGCCGGGAGGCCTGCCGCGCACGTGCGCCCCGGCTGCCGCCCCCCGCCCCGCCACGCCAAGGATCGTGCTCCTGCAGCGGGTCGACTCCACGCGAGGCCCCTGCCGAGCCGCCGCGCATGCGCCCGGAGACCTGCAGGAAGGCACCTGGGACGATGCCGTAGTCCACGATCAGCTCCTCCGCCTCCACGGCCCGGCCCTGGAAGGTAAGGTACACGCAGTCGGGGGCGCCGCCCGGGTACAGCTCGCACAGCGCAGCCGACGCCGAGGTCTTCGGGGTGACCTGCAGCGCAACCGAAGGTCCTGGCAGGGTTCGGACATGCCGTGCGCCGACGGGCAGGCGACATTCAGGCATGCCTCAAATGGACGCACTACGATGTTAATGTTCACCTACTTGCACGTTCGATCGATATCGCGATCGATCCCGTTAGGGGTGACATGATGCGACGACAGGCGCTGGAGGCGTGGAAGGAGCACATACGTACTAAGCGATTGTCCTGTCCGGGGGAGGCCCGCCCTGCGAAATCTGGAGTGCTATTCGTTGGGCCGACGATGTTGGCCCTCCCCCTCGACGTTCGCACGACCGCTTCTGGGGGCTCAAGGCAGTTGCGCCGCGCCAAATAGAATTGTTTGGGGTCCACCTTGTCGTTGGGGCAGCCTGCTGTATGGAGCATCCCATGCCGGCCAGCTGGAGACAAGCCGCGGTGATCTTTTTCTTTGCCCCATCCTTGCGGGCCGTGATGCCATTGCCAGCGGCCACGGTGGCAGACTTTGATCAGTGCGAGAACGGACAGCGCGCGTGCATCTACCCGCATCCTTGCGTTGCGCACGCGCACATTACACGAGCGCTTACTCGAGACAATTGGGAGAGGACGCTGCTCACATGGGCGTGGATCACACGAGTTCCTGATGGGCTACGATCGTAGTCGTGGCGAATGGCCTACCGCCAAGAAGAGGACGTGCCCGTCGGCTCTGTGTCAGGTACTAGCGGGTGGTATTATGGACAATGTAAACCACATGCGTGAGACAAGCGACCCAGACGCACTACCAGACGACATGCGGGCAGGGGAACCGTGCTCCGTGGGTCCTTGGCCGGTTTTTATTGAATCGCTTAACTCAGTCCGCCGGCCCACTTCGCATGACTGAGCCTCTTGGGGCCGCTGGGGGGGCCTCTTCAGCGTCGCTTGGGGGCCTCCCGAGGGCCTCCTGGGGGCTTTTGGGGCCTCTCAGGGGCCTATTGAGGCCTCCTGGGGGCTTCTCAAGGCCTAGGGCTCGAAGTTTTGTTTTGTGTTCCCCCTTTGGGGCATCGCTTGGGGCCCTCTTGGGCCCCTCTTGGGCCGCCTTGGATGCCTCTGGGGCCGTCTTGGAGCCCTCATGGGCCATCTTGGGGCCTTCTTGGGAGCTTCTTGCGCCCTCTTGGGGCGATCTTGGGGGCCTCTTGGGCCGTCTTGGGGCGTCGGGGAGCCGAAAAGATGGGCGCGCCAAAATCTGCCCGAATCCTCCGGAAAAGTAATGCATTTTGCCTCTTGGGGACCTCTGGGGAGTGCTCTTGGAGGCCTCTTGGGGCGTCTGGTGGCCATCTTGGGCGTCTTGGAACGATCGTGTGGCATCTCGGAGCACTCTGGAACCATATTGGAGGGCTCTTGGCGGCCTCGTGGCCCTTCTAGGGGCTCTCTGGGGGGCCGCGGGGGCGGCGCCCAGGAGGAGAACCATCTCTGACCCGAGTCTGCCGGGGATCGCCCGGGGTACTTTTCGCCCGGGGACCCCCTGGGGCCGCCCCGCGCGCGCGAAGTAGAAGTATTATTTAGCAGTTACCGGAGATCTCGGCACGCCTCTGGCCCGTTGGGCCGGCGAATTTCGCATGGGGCACCTTTCAGGGCACCGACGAAAGTCGGGCCCCTGATTTCGTTTCACAGGCCCCTCGGCGGGCCCGTGCAGATCCCGAGCGACATAGGTTTCAGCCGCCACCTCCCTCCCCGGTCTTGCGCCAGGTGTCGTCTGCGATCCCAAGGCGGAGCCCGGGGGCCCCGGCCCCGTCGAGGCTGCAGACGAACAGGGGCACGCAGAAGCGTCGGCGTTCATCGAGGGCGCCCCGATCTCCGATCGCGGCGCCGCCTGCCCATCTCAAGTCAGCGCCGCCCGCGCCCCGCCGCTGCCGCCCTGCCCCGCCCCTCTCGCAGATGAAGTTTTGGCTATGATGCCCGCGGGCGCACTGAAGCCCGAGCGCGGCGCGAGCAGCGACTTGCCGCCCGAGTCGCCCCTTGGGCCATGCAAGATAGTTCCGGCGCCGATGTTTTCGATTCGTGTCTCGAGCAACCCGCGTTGCGTTCGAGTCGGGGTGCGCTTGGGGGGGGGGGTTCGGGGGGTTGGCAGGATGGGGGAAGCTGTGACAGCGATGGGCGATTTAAACTTTCGTGCGACAGTGGTCTCGTCCTCCGCAGCTGGCGCATGCCAGGCCGTCGGTGGCCCGTCGGTGGCCGAGCCGAGGGTCGATCCGTGAGGGGGGGGGGGGGGGGGGCATAGTGGGCGCTCCGAAAGGAACTTTCGAAGCCCCCTCCCCGGGGCGGCCCTCGCCGAGGCGAGGTCGCCACTATGCGCCTGCACTTGTTGCGAGCAAACCGTAGGGATCGATTGGCCATATTAGATGGGAGGCGGAGGTTTCAGCTTCCAGTGCGGGCGGGGGGGGGGGGGGGGGGGGCAGCCGTCGCGTGCGTTAGAACCGTGGCTCGCGTGTACGTGCAGGGCGCTACCTCTGCGCTGTCAGCTACTTGATGGGGCCTTTCGCTGGGGCTCTCAAGGTTTTGAGACAATGCAGGCCCGCTGCATGTTTTGCAGATACCGTTGCGCGACTTGTCGCCAAGGGATCAGCACTGTCGGACGGGGAGGTTGGGTAGAGTCAGTGAGAGTAGCCTCTGCCTCCTGCGATCTCTCTCGCCCGCAGCCTGCCTGCGTGCGCCGCCGTCCCTGTCTCTCGGCACGGCCCGCATGCCTCGTTGTCTCTTGGGAAGATGGCGAGGGATTCCAGCATGCTGCCAGTGACAGTCCAGTCATGTTTTGAGCAAAGTGGGTATGCCCTGCGCAGCTGAAGGCCGACGCGGCGTCGGCGGCCGAGCCGAGGGTCGATCCGTGAGGGGGGGGGGGGGGGGGGCGTAGTGGGCGCTCCGAAAGGAACTCGCGAAGCCCCCTCCCCAAAGCGGCTCTCGCCAAGGCAAGGTCGCCATTTCTGCGCCTGCTCATTTCGCGAGCGACCCACGGTCGTCGAGTTTGCGAGGTAAGGGAGGAGGTGGAGGTTTCCAGGATCGGGTGGGGGGGTCAGTCACTGTCTGTCAAGCCGAGGCTCGCGTGCATGGACATGCGCGTCACTCTGCATTGTCAGCTGCATGAGGCACTCAAGTTTTTGAAACATAAGCAGACCAGCCGCATGAGTTTGCAGATGTCATTGCGCGACTGGCTTCCGCGGGATCAGCGCCAGCCGTGGATGGCGAAGGGCAGCCGCTTTCACAGTTATAACCTCATGCCCGTGAGCATAAACACTAGGGGATAATAAAGTTCGGGGTTCAGGGAGAGATGATAAAAGTAGCCCAGCAGACCTCATCATAATCTCGAAGTAAGAGATGATCAAGAGGAGACCAAGCCGAGCACGTTTTGAGACATCCTTGGCGTTTAGTTTTCATAGAAATATCCTCAACAATGGCTTATCTCTCATGAAAATTGTTTTTTTTTTTTTTGTAAGTGCTCGTGTAGGGTAGCTCATGTGCCTCAATTTCCATGGATAATCAACCGCAGATATAAAAATTTCAGGCGAGCGTGGAGAGAGAGAGAGAGAGAGAAATATAAAATAAGAAGAATACAGTAGAATAATAATAAGAAATAAGAAGAAGAGGAGAATAAGAAGAGGACGAAGAAAGGAAATATCCAAAGTTCCAGATCTATCAATTTTAATTTACAAGCGCTTTATGAAAATTGATGTTTTAAGTGCTCGTGTAGGGTAGCTCATGTGCTTCATTTTCCATGGATAATCAACCCCAGGGATAAAAAAGTTCAGGCGAGCGTGAGGACAGATAGAAATATAAAAGAAGAAGAGGAAAGTAGAATAATAATAAGAACATTGCTCGTTTCGTTTGAGTCTGCCTCCCAAAATTATTGGTTTCGCTTGACACATCCTGAAAAAGTGTGATCGCTTCGCTTGATGTTGCTATATCAACATCGCTTGATGTTGCTATCTCAACATAGCGTTTCGAGGTGATAATGAAGTTCGGCCTCGGCGCTCGCCGCCCAATTTGAATTTTGCATGGGCGACGATAATCAACTCTAAACGCTGAAGGGGGGGGGGCCCTTTATTATCATCGGCGTGCGGTTAGTCTGGAACCGCAGTCCCCGTCCCCGCGGCGATGGCTATGCGCCGGCGCCTACATGTCAGTGACGAATAGGGTAGAGGGGAGGGTTCAGAGAGAGGTGCCGCCTGCCTCTCCTGTTCTCTCCCGCCCGCGGCCTGCCTGCGCCGCCGCGCGCCCTCTCAGTCTCGTCGCCGACGCCGTCGCCAGAGGTGCCCCCCGCTCGAAGCCGCGGGCGCATTTTCACACCTGGGCCCGCGGGGGGCAGCGGTCAGGGGGCCCGGTGAGCGTAGTCCGTCGCTAACCACACACCCGTCGCGTGTGGCGCCGGACCCCCGAGAGCGCCCCCGCGCGCGCCGCGGCTCGCCAGGTGCTCGCGCACTTGCTCACCGCGGCGCCAGCCAGCTCTGCATTTTGCATAGGCAGCTATGGGGTAGCAATAGGAGGATCGAGGATGGAGGAAGGTTGGCTTGTCATGAAGGGTTTGCCCACCCTATGTCCCTCTCTGCGCGACGAGGCACAGTTCTTTGGCAGGGCCAGGACCGCCTGCCGTGCCTGTCTGCTACCGCCGTTGCGACGTAGCGCTGGCCATGGCTTAAGTGCCTTTGAGCACCGTGCAGTGTCACTTCGAGGACCGGACGTGGGGTGGGCATGCTATGGGAGGTGGGGAGGAGTTGCTGCGCTGTACTTGTTTACTTGGTGCCCGTGCAGCCCTTTCTGCTAGTTGCAGCGCCGCTTTTCTCTGACCGTCGCCAGGCGACACAGATGCGCAATCCAGAAATCCCCGCCTCCTCCCGCCCCTCTGCCTCCACCTCCTCGTCGTCCTCCCCGTCTTGTGCAGACAGAGAATACGGTGCCAAAGTGCTCGCCCTGGAGCTCCCGGCCGGGTCGCCGGGACAGGGGCGTCTTCGGGGGAGAGGGGCCAGTCGCCTCACGATTCGCGCCAGTGCCATCTGGGAACGCGTGGGAATGGCTAATTCCCACAACGCTGGCGCGAATTGTAACGTGACCATTGGGGGTGGAAAGAGGGGGCTGGGCTGGTCAAGTTGATCGTGTCGCGAATCAGAAAACGTTTTTGTTGCGTTGCGTCTTCGGAGGGCCCTGTCTTTCCTCAGCTCCGGTATTTTTTCTTGCGCCCGACGCGGGTTGAATGCGGTTTCGACGCGGATCTGACGTGTCTGCGGATTCGGCGCGGATTTGGCGCAGATCCGACGAGGTTTCGACGTTGATTCTACGCGGATTCGACGAGGTCGACATGGATTCGACGCGCACTCGACTTGGGCAATGGCGCGACGTCTTGGGGAGGCCTGGGAACAAAGACCAAGGTGAGACGGCCATACAGTGTCCAAGCCCAGATCTCCGACGATATGATTATTCGACCATTGCATTTTTCTTCGATCCCGGCGTTCGAGAAACTGTTAAGCGGGTCTTCGGGGCCGGCAAAAAAAAACGGAGAGGAGATAGCTGCCTTGGGGGAAGGGCCCAGATCTTTTCAGGGCCGCGCGCTGGAACAAACACGCGTCGGTGGATATGTGGGCCCCATGCCTCCCCCCTTGTTCTGTAGGCTTGTGGAGGACGATGAATTGAGAGGAAGCATGCTGCCAAATAATTTCCAGACGTGCAGAAAATGTTTAAAGTGTGTTTTAAGTTGGTTAAAGCATGTTCAAAACATGTTTACCATGTTTTACACAATTTAAACACAGTCTTTATTTAACTGATAGGATTGTTAGAGTGTCTCTCGTCATAGCATCCACAACTCTAGGCCTCCCGGATTTCACGGCTCGTTTGCAACGCAGTGGCTTGTCATCGCGGCTCGGCGGCCGTCCTGCTTTCCTTCGGCTCGCGTTGTGGAGCAGCTCCGTTGTGGTGATATGCAGAGTTTGAGGGTGATGGGTTCAGAAGCTCTGCGGTGTGTAGGACAAATCTTCTCTGGGCCTTGCAGGTGGTGTGGAAGTAGATAGCAGGTGGGGTCGCAGGATGGTGCTGCATAGCCAATGCATCGGCGATGCGGCTCGATGTGGATTTCAATTTTCTCCGCGCCGGCGTCGCCGATGCATCGCCAATGCATCGCGGATGCATTGCCTCTTGCACATCACCGGATCGCCGATGCATCACCGATTTATTCTGACACCATTTGGGAGGCCTCTGGGAAAGGCAGTCAGAGGAGCTAGTCCTTCTCCCATTCTCCCCATTTCTCTGCTCCTCCAATGGAGCGTTTCTCGCTCTCGCCTGGGCAGTCTGGGCTCGCCGATGTACGTGAGTTCAGGCTGCAGGCGGAGAAGAGGAGGGAGCCATCTCAAGAGATTGGGGGACATTGGAAGAAGGGGGGAATCGAACAACAAAACTGCATAAATCAGCAATGGGCCTCCTGGCGCCGCCCCTGGCGCGTTCCGCGCTCCAGGGAGGGGGACCCAGCGCCGATCCAAGAAACCCGCGCGGATCTCCAACAGTTGATGTTCATGCAGTTTGTTTGTTCCTCTAGGGAAGGGAAGGGGCAGCAGGTGTACCCCGTATGCCCTGGGATCCGACGTCGAGGCCAACGATACACTATCGTGAGAAATCACGGCCAGGGACCCGGACCGCATCTCTCTGTCGCATTTCTTGATCAGGATCGATATCGAGGGTCCGGGAGTTTTGCCTCTTGTGAAACATGACGACGTCAGGACCTCGGGGTTCCTGTTCGGGTCCCCCAGCGGCAACGATAAGGGGGGGATATAATCGGGGGGAAATGCGCCGACCCCGTAATCGCTCATTGATCGTTGGTAGGGGCCCGCTGATATCCCACCCCGCCCAGGAGCGTACATAATCGCTACTGAAGACCTATCGCCGATACATCGGCAATTTATCGCCCATTCCAGGTCGATGCCCCCTTGAGCAAGTCCCCTATCGTTGCCCCTCAGTCGGCACTTATCAGCGTGCCTCGCGGGCGGTCCTCAGGAGACCGCCAACTCTGGGGCGACTTCGAGGACCGTCTCGTCGATCAGGAGCATCGCCAGCAGCTATGGCAGGACCCCTGCTTGGCTCCACTCGCGCCCGCGTGGCAGGCAGGGATGGAAGGGGGGGGGGCCAAAGGGTCGTGCGGAGAAAGAGGATGAGGGTGACGAGGAGAATGAAGAGAAGTAGGAGCAGGAGATGGAGGAGGTTAGGATTGGATTGGGCATGCCAGCGTGCGGCGAGGGGACGGGGATGAGGACCCCCAACCCCGCAAGGCAAAACGCGCCCACCAGAAGCGTGAATTGGTGTAGGTTTTTTTGTTGTTGTACCGCGCGCTGCAGGCAGTTACATCAATAATGATGGCGGGTACTACTATTGTAGAGAATCAGAGGTGCAAGGGATGAAAGGACACATGACTTAGAGAGGAGGTTGCTTTCGCTAGGGTTAGATCGAACTTTGTGTTACAGAGGGCTTTGAGTCATACTTGCAAGGGATATTGAATCATTTTAGTTAGATGGCAGTGCGATGCTTAATTACCAGGCTTGGAGGGGACTTGTAGGTGCAAGGAAGTTGGATCATATTGCCAAAGTTGTAACGTTTCTTTGGGGTGCATCGGAATTTGAATCATACGTGCAATGGTCGTAGACACGACAATGGGTTGGAGAGCAACTGAAATGCCAATTGCCAGGGTTAGATTGTATTGATTGTTACAAAGGAATTTGACCAAGGCGTGAACAGGTTGGAGAGGAGTTGCTGGTTCGAGCGGAGTTTTCATCTGCATTGCCAGGGTTGGATAGGAAGGAGTTTGGAATACAGAGGACTTTGGAACACTTGTCCAGCTTAGCGATAAATTTACAGACCAATGGGAATGTGAGTCAGAATTGCAGTACATATGCATATTTTCTTGAGTTGCAGAAGAACTTGATTCATTCATTCATTCATTCACATCATTGGCTCCGATGTCTGAGCGAGGTCAGTTTGGCAGCAAAAAAAGTTCAGCTCGAAACTCATTCGTTAAACTCGAAGCGATGTCCCTGCTCGCGGCGGTCATGCGGCCTCCACCCTATGTGACGGCCTCGATTGCCAATGGGCTCGCAAAAGCCCTGGCCTGAGACCCACGACCTCTGACGTGTGAAGAAGCCGAGGGGGTCAAATCAAGGGGGGACGGTTACTTCTGAGCTCGATACCATTGTCGGGCTTGCTCTAAAATTCGCGTGCTCGAAACCATATTGTCAAAAACACGGCTACCTGGGAAAACACCCCGAGAAGCCAGGTACATAGCTATCATCCTCAGGTCAGACACGACGTGGGGTGGAGGAGGAGGAGGGTGCTCCTCAGCTGTCGTCGTCTGTCTTAATGAAGATGATCGTGTGCGGCTATCTATCATATTTGAAGTAGCCTCCATTCCGCTGCTGGTGTCATACTGGTCGCCGCTGCCGCTCCAGTCTGTGTTTACTGCAATAGCTGTTCCACCCATTCCTGTAGCTCCCTCTCCATGTGTGTGGCTGGCGCTCTCCCGTACTTGCGCTTCGCCCCCGTCGTCTTGAGCGCCTCCATCAGGTGGGTGCGGAACTGAGCGTCCCTCACTGCCAGCGTGAGGCGCTTCTTCTCCTTCTCGTACATACGATCTACCTTGCAAAAGAGAATCAACTCTGACTTCTGCTCGACGCTGTAGCTGTCGTAGTCCGTGTACATCTTTTGTACCACCTGCTTCAAAGGGTCGTCCAGAGCCAGAGCCAATACCGCTGCCAATAATCCTCCCATCGCATATATATATATATATATGTATATATATATATATATATATGTGGTGGGGCCATGTAGTGTTTTTTTCCTTTCTGCTTTGTTATCCGTAAGGGCTTCGCCCCCTGCCGCCGGCCCCCTCTCTCGGAGAATGGGCCATGGAAGAGCTAAGTCATGAGGCCTTGGCGCTGTCGTGAAGCAGTATCGAAACTTCATGCGAAGCCGATTCGCAATCAGCAAAACCAACTGATCACAAGAGGGGTTACCACACCTGGCGATTGGTAAGACGTGTATGGTTTACGGGCTTGGTTACCACACCTTGCGATTAAAGGGCCGAGGAGTTCTCGCAGTTTGGGTTACCACGCCTTGCGATGGATGTGCGTGAAGGGTGGCACCGAATTTCAGAAATGTGGCAAATCCCCTGTGTTTTTGGACCCTGACCCCGCGGATCTGCGTGAGGGGTGGCACCGAATTTCAGAAATGTGGCAAATCCCCTGTGTTTTTGGACCCTGACCCCGCGGATCTGCGTGAGGGGTGGCACCGAATTTCAGAAATGTGGCAAATCCCATGTGTTTTTGGACCCTGACCCCGCGGATCTGCGTGAGGGGTGGCACCGAATTTCAGAAATGTGGCAAATCCCCTGTGTTTTTGGACCCTGACCCCGCGGATCTGCGTGAGGGGTGGCACCGAATTTCAGAAATGTGGCAAATCCCTGTGTTTTTGGACCCTGACCCCGCGGATCTGCGTGAGGGGTGGCACCGAATTTCAGACATGTGGCAAATCCCCTGTGTTTTTGGACGCTGACCCCGCGGATCTGCGTGAGGGGTGGCGATTTCGAGCCCCCCCAGCAATTCAGACAACGCGCCCAGGGGACGCTAGAAAGCCGGTTTGGGCCTCCCCCCCCCTCGCGCGGTCAATCAACTAGTTACAGTAACCAGCAATAAGCATAACTGTAACACTGGAAACTACAAGCTACAACTGAACTGGTACAGGAAACTGCGAATCCCGCTCCTCGCAGCCTGGTGGCCCCACAAGGGGGCCGGCGGATTTTTCCGTATGCCGCCGTCTGCTCCTGGATGCGAAGGATAATCGGGCCGTCGTTCCTGAGAATAAGAGTGTCGAAAATCACGCTGCTCATGTCCCTGCTCTGCTGTGTGCACCGAAGGAGCTGTTTGACGATCAGGCACATCCGCATCTTGGTGTGGCGTGGGAGTTGTGTTGTTGCCGCCTCCATTGTTTTTTTTTTCCTTCGGCATCGTCCTCTTGTGTACGTTGACGCTGGCTCCTCTGACATCCCCCATCCATCGGCGCGTCTTGGTTGCTTGTCTGTAGAAGAGCTGGCATAGTCCAAGATCGGGTGTGGCGTCGGTAAGTGAGACCACCGATGGTGTTCGTACAAGGCGGCCAGGTCCGAAAAGGCTGCGTCACATATTGAACATGTTATATCAGAAACCATTTGTAGTGGCCATTTCATAGTATTCCTTCCCATTCTGCATCGGCCCTGGGCGTAAGCAAAGATTAGATGATTTTGTGCACACAACCTGCTTTTCAAAACCGTGTAACAGTTCGGGCACTGGTTCGTGATCACGCTGCGAAGCGAAGTTTGTGTCTAGCTGCTTGATGAGTGGTAAGCTGTCGATAGCTGGGGAAAGTCTGATCGCAATTCGTCCCAGTTTCGTGATCGATAAGTTCGCATTTGTATTATTTGGGGTTCGCGTCTATCATGTCGCTCGGCTTGTCATAGAAACGGGTCCATATGCTGTTTCCTGGGGTATGGGCTGCTGCTCTTAGGATAGCTGGATCGACTAGTAGAAATTCTCGTTCGGCTTCAGAGTTCGGGGTGAGGAGGTGCTTCCACGATTCGTTTGATAGGGCCCAGGTCTCCCAGAAGGTCTCTGCGCCACGGATGTCCCTGAAGAGGTCCAGGTCCCGAGCGAACTGACGGGCCCATGGGTTCGCTTTAGCTTCTAACCTCCCGTGTTCATCTAGCGTCGGGGGTTCGCTCGGGATATGTCCAAAGATAGCGACCAGAGTTTGTCGGTGTGCAACACGGTGACGACACATCGACTGCAACCATTTAATTCTTCTCACCGCCAGCTTGTTCTTACTGGGAGCATCTTTCAATGCTTAAGAGCCTCGACGTTACTCATGGCGGTCATGTGTGAGTCCGCGTGTACCGTCTTAGCTCTGCCTTGCATGAGGGCACGGAGGTATTTTACCGAATGGGAGTCCAGCTTTTTTTCGGTGTTCGTCAAAACGAACGCTTCGAGCCCTGAAACTCCAGCCTCCAGCACCTTCACCGAGAACATTTCTCGTTTGAGCTTCCAGAGCCCTCTTTCATTCCAGAACTTCCCAAGTTGACACCATCCCACTGTCATAGACCGAATGCGGATCGAGACCTCTAACTGATTGCTGGCCGTCATCGTGCATCTAGCTCCCAGGCGTCGTGCGTCTGGAACTACCTGTCCCTGTGGAGAGGGGCATATTTCCTGGAGCTTCCGATTCTCGATATGCGATCCGAGAGCTGGGACGATGTATTTTTTATGTATTCTGCGCAAAATGCCAGTGCTTGAGTATGTAATCGAACTGCTTGTCGCCCGATTGAATCATCTCCAATGCATCCTCGGCCTTGCCTGACGGGCATAGTCGCTTCTTCGGTAAATCGTCCGCGAAGCCCGAGAGGGATACGTCCTGGTGGAAACCCTCGATCTCGTCATACATGACTATGGGGTCTTGTGTAATATTTCGCCAATCCGAGATACAATCATGATAAACTCCGGTGAACTGCTTCGGCGCCTCGCTTGAACCTTGTAGGCCACCGTTGCGCAATAGAAAAGCTTCCTCTTCGTCGCCAACTGGGATGAGTATTATGCTGTTCGCCAATCTCTGATGTGCTAGAGCGCGCAAGTCTGCTCGAACGAGCTGATGTGAAATATGAAGGAGATCTCCTGTGCGAGGGCAAAGGAATGCGTTGGAAAGGTCGTGTAGCTCATTGATGTGGTGCTGCTTCTGCCGTCTAAGTGACCATCCAGTGCGCCTCTGAACCAATATTGCCCCCTCACGCCGTCGATGTGCCAGAAATCCGTGCCAGTGACTTGGTATATTGTTTGTCCATGCTTCTTTGTTGTCTCCCCAGCCGTAGAGTACGCCATAGAAACTCTTCCATATCGCGTCGGGGAGGTGGATGATGCGCTGGCTATTCATCCTGTGCTTCTGGTTCCGCTTGTCGAGAAGGACGCCCTCCGTGATGCTGCTCTTCGTCGGTAGCTGATTGGCCCGCAAGCAGTGTATCAAGATCTCCACGAAGTGTGAGCGAGCCTTTGTATACGCCGATGCAG